TCCCTTCCACTCTCTCTCTCTCTCTCCCTCCCCCCCTCTAAGTACAAGAAGGACCTTAATACCAGCAGCTTCCTCACCCTCACACTCACCCTCGTAGATAATAAATAACCCAAGCCTAGTAGGTCATGTCAGGTCACGTCAGTTCCCGGACAACCGTGCAACTTTGATAACAAACATATTAAAACGCTCTCGGCTGATTTGCATAGACCTATCGTGAGTACATATTGAAGGAACATTTTCTTTCTACTTAAGTTCAGTGCATTTGTTCACGTAGTACATCAGTGTACATTGGATAAGAACAGTGATGTTACATACACGCACGTTGCCCATTGTTCAGAGTACATTGGTATATATATATAAACACACACTAACATACAAGTGAGGAAACTGCTGGATTTAGGCCTATCCCGGGTTTCCAGAACAGAGAGAATAATAAATACAAATAGTAAAAGGGATAGTTGTCGTAGATGGAATAATAATAATAATAATAATAATAATAATAATAATAATAATAATAATAACAATAACAATAATAATGATAATGATATTAATAATGATACTGATGATAATAATTATAACAAAAATAATAATAATATAATAATAATAATAATAATAATAACGGTACAATAAACTCCAAATACTGAGTTTGCCTTCCCATCAGGGTCTTTTTTCACTGCTGGGGGGGTAGGGGGGTGGGGGGGGCTTTCTTAGGAGACAACGTTGGAGTCTTTCCATTGAACACAAGGGAGGGGGGTGGGGGTGGGGGTAATAGAGTAGGATAGGGGGAGGGGGGGGTGTTCAGGTTGGTCGACTATATTTTTTTCCCCTTTTTTAAAATTAAAATGCCGCATCGTTTTAAGTTTTCGAAATGTTTGGAGTCTTTCAAAATGGTATATTTTGTGTCTGTCTTATCGATGTTGTCCTTTTAATTTCGTGACGTTACTGCTGGTATCGTGTATTTGTCTGTTTGTTTGTTTGTTTGTTTGTAGTTTGTTTTTTTTTAACAAGAGAATGCGCGCTTCCCAAAATTCAAAATAACAAAAGTGGGGAAAAAAGCAGCGTGCCTTCAAGCATGAGTAAGTACCCAGGAAATGTACAAGATGTTGCACAGGTCGACCTCCCCTTCCCCCTGCCCCTCCCCCTCCCCTCCCCCACCCCCCTCGTGTTCAGCCGGGCCGATTACGCAAGAGTCACTACAATATAAACTTTTATCACAGTCGCAACAAAGCAATCGTCAACGATACTTTTTTTTTTATTTAATTATTCAAATTTTCGTTAATATTACACCAACACGATGTGTTCCCACATATAACATTTGCTTTATCAAACGATTATAAATAATAGTTTTTTTTCCAGAGAGAAAAAAAAAGAATATTAGAAAAAAAAAAAAATCTTTATAATTTTTTTTTTTCGTTTTTATACATCAACGAGTTCTGAAGTCCTTCAATGCTTCAGTCCACAATAAAACCCAGGATAATAATTATTTTTGCACTAGATTAAAACGATACAAACATGTCTGACGGTCCAACTACTGTAATCTAGACTGATATTAAACACTCGTTATAAATCTATTATTATTTAATTAAATGTCTTCACTGCGATCATGAACTTGTCTGATTATTCTTTCTAAAATAATAATCATATATATATTTCTTAATTAGTTATTTTTTTACGTGTAGAATGCACACCTCACTTGTCTCGAATGTTCAGCAATAAAATTATGTTTTTTTTTTTTTTCTTTTTCTTTTCTTCTCAAGACATTTCCCAAATTGTGCACACACATATACATACAGTTTTTTTCTTCTTCTTCACAAAAAAGGAAAGAAACTCAGACAAGAGAAATCACATATATACATTGCCATCTAAAAGAGAGAGCATATCTTTCCTCGTTCGCTATTCCTCGTTTTTTTTCTTCAATTCACTTCAAAAATTGCCAAAACAAACTGTCATCGTCTTTCATATATATTTTCCTTCCATTCCCGTGGTTCTTTTTCCTTATCTTTTTAACATCATTTCCAAAAAAAAAAAGCCATTACCAACACTATTCCTTTTTTTAAAATTTCATCATTATTTTTTTTTCCATTCCGTGCCAAAGTCCTGTCTTTGAAAATCATTAATTCCATTTAACCATTTTCCTCTCTTCCTTGGTGTCCCTTCGCACCTTTTGAACGAAAAAAAAGGGTCACAAACACAGCACAGCCTGAAACCATACGCATATTCCTTTCCTTTTCCTCTTTTTCAAGCACTTTGATCAACACCAATATTTCCTTCGTATTCTTTTTTTTTCTATTTCTCTTTCCCCCTCTTCCTTCTTTTTCTCTCCTTCACACACCTCCTTCGTCTGGTCGTTCGTGAGAGCTGAAGAAATTCTCTCGCCTTTGTGACTACCTTCTTCGAATTCTTGCCTCCTGTTTTTTTTTTCTTTACGTTTTTCTTTCTTTCTTTCTTTTTCTCTTCTATTTTCCTATCTGTCACTCCGAGCTTACATTCTTCTCTCCGCTTCACCGGGAATCCCTTACGTATTTGAGAAAGAAAGAGGGAGATAGAGAGAGAGAGAGAGAGGGAAAAAACAAACAAAATCCCTCCTCTTCTTATCTTCTCGTTTCGTTTCGCCTCGTTCTTCCTTTTTTTTTCCTTTCTTTCTTTCTCTTTTTTTCCTTCACTTGGCAGTCACTTCCTTCACAATTTACTTTTATAGCCCCACTTAAGAGCTTGCCACAGGCTCGCGCGCACTGCACATAATCGCTTCTCCGGATGAGTCACCCGCGGTGTCTCAACCTGATTAAAACAACTGCGCCCCCTAAAAAAAAAGGAAAAAAAAGGAAAAAAAAATCGGTCTCATCAGTATGGCACACTACATCCTACGTCTTGTGTCCCTCCTCATTCAGTGTCCTTGCGGGGATCCTCTTCGTGTCCGTGTGTCCGTACTTTTTTTTTCTATCTTTTTTTTTCCCTTTCAAGATGCCGCGTCCTGTGAGCGAAACCCTGGGCCACGAAACTCGTTCCCTCGCCGATCCACAAGCTGATATGCCTTCCTTTTCGTCACCCTCACTTCACGAAACCTCTCTCTCCTATTTTCTGTCTCTTTTTTTTTTTTGCGTTTGCATATTTTATCTTTCCTTAATTTCGTTTCCTTTTCCTTCGCTCTTTCATGTCTGTTTGTTTGTTTTGTTTTTTTCTCTGCTACACTATGTCTGTTCAGTTCGCACTCATCGAGTATTAGTATTCTACTGACTTAAACACTGCACCAAAAGTGTCCAGTAAAAGAGATGCAATTGCACTAACATTCACAAAAGACTGTTCCTCACTATTATCATTTTTCTTCAAATGGCAGGTTGCAGCATAACCAGGTTGCATGGCGTTGAATTTTCCCTTTGTTCTTCCGGGACTCGAGCGCCCCCTCGAGAGGCTCACGCACCTCGAGGACTCAGAGCAGACTCCTTCCTTTCCGGGTGTAAAATGGTGATCTCGGGAGCTGAACGGAGTCGAGGAGGTCAACAAAGTATTGTGGATGGCCCTTCAGAGACGCTTGTAGGGGGAGGAGAGAGGGGAGAGAGAGAGAGAGAGAGAGAGGGGTGAGGAGAGAGAATGGAAGGAGAGAGAGAGAAGGGAAGGCGAAGGGGAGAAGAAGGACGCCTTCAGAGGCACTCCTTTTGTGATGGGTGCGGGGAGGAGGAGGAGGAGGAGGAGGGGCTGGAGGAAGAGGGGGAGGGTGAAGAGGCCAGGACAAACAGGGCCATTTCACCGCGGCGAGAAACGGGGAATCAAAAGGGAAAACGTTCCAGTTACTTTGGGTTCCACTTCTTGTGTGATAACCTGAGAAAACTTGACAGAACACAAGTGTCATCGTGAGCAGTGTGAGAAAACTTGGCGGCGTGAAACGATGGCGGTGACTTGGAGGTCGATGGGTGGTTTGGATGGCCGTGTGACTGACAACTTCATGGATGACGTCACCTGGGCGCTGGGGGCGGGTGGGGGGACAGGGGGCCGAATTCTCCTTAGGCGTGGTAGCGGAGGGGGAGGGGGAGGGGAGCTCTGGTCTCCCGCTTGAGCAGGGCAAAGGTAGATGCCTCTCGCCCCGGGCTGCGGCCGGCGGGGCTGCGGCGGCGGGCACGGCGTCTAGTAGATGACCTCGTAGACGGTGGCCTTCTTGTCGCCCGAGCCCGTCACGATGTACTTGTCGTCGGACGAGATGTCGCAGCTCAGCACCGACGAGGACTCCTTCGACTGCGGGAGACGGAGGCAACCGTTAGTGACATTGCGTCGGAGTTCAAGCAGAGTCGCAACCTGAATCTCTGATCAAAAAGATTTCTCAATTCTGTGGTGTAAGGAATGGCGTGCACTAATTGAGTACGAATGCACGGGAGGTGACTTACCTGGAAGATGGATGCGCCGTAGGGCGTGCGCCACGCGTTGAGCAGGTTGTCCTTGCCCGTGGACACGAACCACTTGCCGGCCGAGGCGAACTTGAGGGAGAGCACGCAGGACTCGTGCAGGTGCAGCTGGTACTTGTCGGGCTTGTTCACGTGCAGCACCTCCACGTTGGAGCTCTCCATGCCCACGGCCAGCCAGTCGCCGGTCGGGCAGAAGCCCAGCGAGAAGATCTGGCTGGTGAAGTCGTGCTGCTGCAGCTGGCGCCCCTCGCGCAGGTCCCACGACCGCACCGTGTTGTCGAGGCCGCCCGTCCACAGCTTGGTGCCGTCGGGCGAGATGTCGATGCAGGAGGCGCCGTCCGTGTGGCCCTGGAACTGCCGCACCAGCGTCTGGTTGTGCAGGTCCCACACCGCGATGTTGCCGTCGCTGCAGCAGCTGAAGCACACCTTGGAGTCGGGGCTGATGGCCAGGGCGTAGCACGCGGGGGCGGCGGAGGTGAGCTCTGCCTTGATCCGGGGCGTGGGCGTGGCCAGGTCCCAGATGCTGAGGGTGGACGCCTCGCCGCCCACCAGGAGGGTCCGGCCGTCGGGCAACAGCTTCACCGACCGGATGTAGCTGTCACGTTG